AAAATTTCAAGACAACAAAACCCTCGCAAGGCCTGTGTAATTCACAGATGTATTTTTTTCTTCTGGACTACACACGAGTTATCTTCATTCCATATTTTTCTTCCTTTCTTTTTAGGCAACTGGCAGAGGAATAAGGTCGTATCGAGCATGAAGAAGATTGAAGATGTCAGTTGTGTCAAGTTTGTACCTAAAACGAACGAAGAAACTTTCATAAATATTATTAAAGGCAGAGGGTGAGGTATTATTTTGAACTTCGGGTTTTATGAACCTTTTTTATACCAGTAGTTTCGTAAAATATCACCAGGGCTACGACAACATTAACGTTCTAACTGCGCGAGGTTTCTTTAGTATATCACACAAAACAATGTATTTTATGAAAAACGTACCATATTTTTGTATGTTTTCTTCTGTTAAATTCGTATCACAGTAGAATAATTGTGTATTGAGTTTTTAAAATTGACAGATCTTTTATTTATTTTTGTAAATTTATCCAAGGCAGTCGTATCAGTTGATTTATTGGCCTTATAATATCCCTATTGTAAGACATTCTAAAAATATATTTTTTGTACGTTGTGTATTGCAGCGCCATCTCGAGGCACTATACAAAAATATAATTTAAAATATTCAATAGATGTGAAACGTTAAGTGTTTTAATTTGAAAATTTCAAATAATTATTGATTTATTAGTAGTTTATTTCCAAACAGTTTATTTTTAAATATTTAATAATTCTGGTATGTGAGAAGTTATATTGAGATATTATTTACTTTGTAAAATCAAACTTAAAGAAGTTTTATTATAATCTTTCAACAAAAAAAAAATAAGCGACTTTTGAAATAAAATCGTCAATTTCTGGTTTCAGTTTTTGTTTTCTCTTTTCTTTTCTTAGATGCAAAGCACACATCGGTTATAGAGGTAAACCAGTAAAAACTACTCTGGGCAAAAATTGTCTAACTTCAGCACGCATAATTCATGAGCTAATGCACGTGCTTGGCTTCCTTCACGAGCACAATCGCCCTGATCGAGATGAATATATTATTATAAACTTTCAAAATATCCGTAAAAGTAAGTTTTAATTTCCATATACCATGTTGTGTGTGTGTTTGGCAATTTGTACCAGAGGGGGTTAATCAAACGTAGTAAGATGTTTTGTATATATATAAATGCAGTGGCATGATGCGAAGATGCGAGAATGGGCGCCACCTACACACAGAATCTAAACATTTGTTATAGCATCGCGAACAGTCTTTTGGCTGGAGTAAAAATATAACGGATCTTTTCGAGGAGGAATATTCGAGATTGTTAAACGTTGTCGAACTAATAAGCACGACATTTGAAGAATAAAACTTTCATTGGTCTCGGTGGACGTGAAGAAACTCGAACAGCAGAGCGTTTAGAACAAAAACTGGCTCCGAACCAATACATCAAGCTTGTCCGGAACAATTCTCTCTACTACCAAGAGAAGGCCACTGTCACGAAAGAGGATCCTCCGACCCAAAAAAAAAACAATTACGATGAAGCTGAGTACATCTCATGTTACCATTAATAATATAATAAACACTGGTTTTTCAAGTTGAGTAGGAAATTCATAATCCATAATTTCCTACAGATCCAGACTTTTACGTGAATGATAGTCGTAGAATTCAATCCCATTCGACCACATACATCTCTGTCAACAGTGCATAATCATGACTATTACAACAAGTGTTATCGACGATGGAGAAAGTAGAATTTCAAGAGCAGCATGGGACCTGGAAAGTCGTCCTTAATTCTCAATAAACGTCCTACCAATGAATATTAACTGGCAATATGAAAGGAAATGCCCCTTGTTGGGTCAGCGGTGACTTTAAGGACTCACAACGCTAAATTAAGAGGTTCGATTCCTAGCAGTGGACATAGAGCAAATAACCTATTGCGTAGCTTTACGCTAAAACAAACTAAAGTAAATGAAATAAATTAAAATAACTTTATTTACACTTGCTGTGTTAAAGATTTACATCGGACTTCTTTACTAATCGTCTAACAAGTTAGTAACAGGTCAAATAATGGTAGTTTCCAACGATGGTCAAAAAAATATATATGCAGAGTTTTTTCATCCGAATAAAATAAAGAGTGCTAAAATACCTTAAAGGACTTTATCTAAACCCTCGAAGGGTGTCTGTCTGTTTACAGTTAAGCACAAAGCTACACAATGGGCTATCTGTGCTGTGCCCATCACCGGTATCGAAACCCGGTTTTTAAAGTTATAAGCCTTCTAATTTACCTCTGTCACACTAAGAATCCCCGATGAGGTGAAAGAACACAAACTTTTATTGCAAAAAATACACATTAGCCAATTTAGATAGGTTGTTAATAGATTTAATAGACATAGTAGAATAAATCTACGTATAGCCCTATTGAATGCAAAACAACGTTACTATATCTACAAGTAGCGCTATTATGTCTACAAACAGCCCTATTAAATCTATTAACAACGTTACTATATCTACTAGTAGCGCTACTATGTCTATTAAATCCATTAACAACGTTACTATATCTACAAATAGCGCTACTATGTCTACAAACAGCCTTATTAAATCTGTTAACAACGTTAATATATCTACAAGTAGCGCTACTATGTCTACAAACAGCCCTATTAAATCTATTAACAACGTTACTATATCTACTAGTAGCGCTATTATGTCTACAAACAGCCCTATTAAATTTATTAACAACGTTACTATATCTACTAGTAGCGCTACTATGTCTGTTTGTTTTTTAATTATGCACAAAGCTACACAAGGGCTATCTGTGCTCTGCCCACCACGGGTATCGAAACCCGGTTTCTAGCGTTGTAAGTCCGCAGGCATGCCGCTGTGCCACTGGGGGGCCCAAGACAAGACTCTATTAAATTATTGTTCTTTCGTTGGGCTGGTTCTTTAAAATTACTTGGTGAAAATGAGGCCACGTAACGATAACAAATCATTCTTTTTTATTTCCCTTTCTACAAACTGCTTTCGCTTGTATACAGTCGTAACTTATTGGAGTAAGTAACATTTTAAATGACGTTCAAACGGAAATACCTTGCTAATGGTACTATTACTAACGTCAAAAAACAATAAGTATAACAAGTCTAGTATGTTTAGAAACAGTATTAACAACAATATAATATATCTTGTTTTGAGAACAACAGTATAATAGATCTTGTTTTGAGAACAACAATACAACAGCCTTGTTTTGAGAACAACAATATATTAGATCTTGTTTTGAGAACAATATAATAGATCTTGTTTTGAGAACAACAATATAATATATCTTGTTTTTAGAACAACAGTATAATAGATCTTGTTTTATTTTTCTTAAGGTTTGAGACACAACTTTAGGAAGTCAAAACGCCATCAAGTCACCCTTCTAGATCTTCCCTATGACTATCAATCCATACTTCATTATCGACCTCAAGATTTTGCCATCGACAGGTCCAAGAAATCCATTCTGCCTGTTGGTGACCAAACCATTAAGATTGGAATGGGGAAAACCCTGAGCGAGTTAGACGTCACGAAACTCAACAAACTCTACCAGTGTTCTGGTCCAGATGAAGATTGGCCTATGATTGAAGAATATGCAGATCTTGAGTTCACTGACGAAACCGAAACAACCGATGATTGAAAAGTATAAATTTTCTATCGAAACTCTCTTGATTTGCCAAGAGTAAATGGAAAGCTCACGAAGCAATACAACTTGAGCCCGTCAAAGCATTCTTATTAAATTACAAATATGTTCTAAGCTTTAGATATTTAAAAACGATTTTTATTCTGTCACATTTCCTTTTTGGAAATTCAGAGACTTTAAAAGAACTTTTATTGTGAAAGTAACACGTGAAGTCTGAACGTTTAAACCAGTTTCATTTTTATGATGAGTCCTGGTATTAGCCGAAAGGCCTCGTCGGTACTGGATATCGTAGATATAGTGTGGTTTACACATTATTACATTCTTCATTAATTTCACTCGTAACTTCTTAAAAACTTCTTGATTTACAGTTTATCTTCTGCTCAGAAGTAAACAGGAATAGTTGAATTATTCTTGCTTCGTTAAAGTATATCGATGATAAAAAACTAACTAAGAGCTATTTATTAGAGAAATACGGTTAATAGTGAGACCACCCCGCTTAGGACTTTATCTAAATTTGGTCGCTAGGTGATTTTCTGTTGTAAGTTATTCAAGTACTCTTTAAAATAAAAAACGCAATAGTCCTAATTAAGTTTACACTTTACATAATATTATTACAGGAGTGTTATTTTGATATATTTTGTTAAAGTTAGATCTGGGGTCATTTGTTAAGACTTATTTTAAAATAAATTCAACTCGACATAATATTTAATTTCGATTATTTATATATATGTTTGTATGTGCATATTTACTGAAGTATTTATCTTAGCAATACAGTCTACGATCTCCTCTTTGTCTTTGTTTTACTTTACTTAATTTTCACAAGGTTTTATTTTATTGTTTTGGCACTTGGAATGTGTTAAATATTTCTGAAATTCGTTTTAGAACCAACGTTTATTCTGATCAGTAATTTTAAAGGATTTTTATTTTTATCAGTTTTCTGAGTGGTTTATTACACGTACACATAATAAGAAAATAAACTAAATCGTGTAGTGTCAAACAACACTAGTGCCAAAAGTTCAGAGCCCTCCAAAAGACTGCAAGATAATTTTTTTACAGCCAATGGAGTAATAACACCGCTTTGCTATTAACTAATTTTGGGTAGGATGTTTTTGTATTTTTAGTGTTTGTTTGTTTGTTTTGAATTTCGTGCAAAGCTACACGAGGGCTATCTGCGCTAGCCGTCCCTAATTTAGCAGTGTGAGACTAGAGGGAAGGCAGCTAGTCATCACCACCCACCGCC